GTAAAAATCTGAGTAAGTAGGCGATGTTAATGGATAAGAAAAAAGCCAGATGTTTCTAAAACTAAAAAGATACTGCAAAAACACTCAAAATGGTTGAATGGTTTGTAACGGTAGATCGCCCCGATGGTGCGGAAGGATCCCGAAAGAGAAGAACCATCGATCAGTCGGATAAATAACGTGTGAGGCTAGGCCTTGTATAGAGTGAGGAGGTCATGTGTAGAAAAATACTTCTCAGCCCTAGACAAATATCCTAGCTTTTTCCCAACAACGGCCACTATTGGCGGGAACTGTTCGTACCAGATCAAGTCCTCGGTGATCTGGACTCCGACTAGGCGAAATGAACGGCTCTTTGGCAGAACTCGGCCATCCATCGAAACCAAATGAACGCTGGGACGCTTTTTGTTCGTCAAGGTACAGCACTGGGTTTTGGAAGCATCAAACTGTACAAGATTGTTGCATCCTCGACCAATGATAACCTCCAGGTCTCTTGTCAGAGAGAAAGTCGCCGCTAGTCTTCTTTTTTCCAGCTCACCGGCCATTGCTTACGGCAGAAGGTCATGATTAGTGTTCATTCGAGGTAGCATGCCCGGCGCTATATCCACAAGGTTTTACAACCACATCTGCTTTCCTTTAGGGAAACATTGCAAGATCCACTTTTCCAGCAGGACAATGCACGACCTCATGTCGCTTGTGTTGGTTCAGACTTTTTAGAAGCCTCCCGAGTAAATCTGCTTCGGTGACCTTGTCGATCTCCAGACCTTTCCCCCATCGAATACGTATTGGACATGATGGGAAGAAGGTTGCAGAATTCACTGCACCCTCCAGAAACTATGGACTTTACGAAACCCAATTCAGATAGCCTGGTATACAAGAAGACATCAATCACCTAATCCAATCAATGCCGCGACGACTTAACGAATGTGTAGCGAACAGAGGAGCTTCGACACATTATTAACATTAATAATAATAATAATAATAATAATGATAATAATAATAATAGCTTTATTGTAGCAGTAACGCCATTAATAGGACAATTAAGTAAAAATAACAAGTAATTAAAGAAATCAAGCACAGTGGTAAAAAAGAAAAAAAAAACAATAGGAATAGCATACGTACATATACACTAACTCAATTAATTCTCTAAGTCTAAGGTTACTTAGAAATATGTCACAATGACAGCTAATGACGTTTAGGAATATACACATAACGTAGATTGGAGATTTAATCAAAAGGTTCGTTCTGGCTCGTGCAGGTTCGAACATGACATAGTTACGCGTTGTAAACGAAGGTACATTAACATTTATTTGAGACAAAATTTCAGAACAATCAAAATCGTCATTTAATAATTTAAAAAGAAATGTTGCAGCTGACATATTACTTGATATTACTCAAAACGCTCACATAATTCCAAGTTAGTGATAGCTTGCTACGGGTAAATCCCCTCATATTTAAAATACAAAAATTTCAAAAACTTCCTTTGTATTTTTTCAATGTCATTCACGTAGCGTCTGTGATATGGCTTCCATACTATACCAAGTTCAGTGAGCACGTATGTCAAGTATAAGACCTTCAGAGCTTATAATTATAAAATTGCCTACAAATTCTGACAAGAAATCCGTAGGAATTTTAAGCTTCAGATACTTTCAGAGGAATGTGAGCATTGAAAGTTAGTTTTTCATCATAAATGACTCCTAAGTCCTTAACGCTATTACACCTTTCCAAAACCAATCCTTCGATGTTATGATTATAAAAATAAGTAATCTTTCTCCTAGTGTAGCTTGCAATCCAGCACTTGTCCGTATTAAAATGTAATTTATTGCGGTCGCACCAAATCCTAACATAACTCAACTGTATCCGCAAGCTTAAACAATCCTGTATGTCGTTAATTAAAGCATAGATCTTCATCTCATCTGCAAAACACAAATGATCACAGCTCAAATTATCGCAGAGGTAATTAATGTAAAAACGATACAGGCCCCAAGTTAGACCCCTGGGGCACACCAGATGAAGTTGAATATGCTTGGGACTTGAAGCCATTGTACGATACAAACTGTTTCCGTTCATATAAATAAGACCTGAAAAACTTTATAGTATTTTTGTGAATCCAAAGCCTGCTAGTTTTGACTTTGTTTTACACTTTAATGGTGTTAGAATGATACCAAAGTGGCTATTTATACCAAATAATGTTAAGGCAATATTAATGTCGTTAGAATTTTTGATAACACTCCAATCAGTTTCAGACAACTCTCTATAAAGCAACGGAAAAATTAGCTTTACTGAAATTATACACTTTTTTGATAAATTGAACCTAAATCTAACATCCCTAGTGAATACGTCTGATATATTTATTAAAAGGGCCGGATGCTGGTCATCCTCAGGAAACATAGGTGTATCATCATAAAGGACTGTGCAAGGAAAATGAGATACAACTAAATCTTGCAGACGGTTTAATCGGTTTTGAGCATTGTTATATTGTTGTAGGCTAAGTAAAGCTAAATAGTTTTGATCGTTATCGATAAATCGCGGTACATCGAAATCACCTAAAAGTATTGTGGCATTTCAGTTGAGATAATCAAGTTGTTCAAGGCACTCAAAAAACGATTCAAAGTCCTCCGTACACACTTTATCTGGTATATATACAGTGACTACGTAAAATGTTTTAAATTCCAAACTAGACTTAACAACTAATAAGTCAATGTATGGAAACTGAAATCAAAAGAAGTAACATCCAAAGTCTCAGAATTCATAAAGTCCTTAACAGCTAAAAAAACACCACCACCAGAAGACACTTGCCAATCCTATTAAACTTACGGTCTTTTTTGTAGACATTGTAAACATTCGGAAAAAATTACGAGTTGGAAATACCATCACTTAGCCAGGTCTCGCTCAACGACACAACGTCAAATTCACACTCACTTGCCGAAGAAAAAAACATCCACCTTACTATTCAAACCACGTACGTTCTGGTAATATACATCGAGAGATTTTTCTATACTACTGGAACTGTTGGAATTTGTCAGCTTAAATTCCCGACCAGCTTAGGTGTACCATTAACATATTTCATTCTAAACTTTTCAGGACCTTGGGTATTTTTTGTCTTAAGTTCTTCCTGCAATTCCTTATGATGTTTGATCTGCCTGCGGGTACGATCAAAGGAAATTGACACATGTTTGAAAGTGCTGTTCTTCTCGTAACTTCAACTTCATCACGTAAGGTTTTTTTTGCAGGACGTCGTTTATTTTGATCAACGCGGCCAAGTCTGATGGGTGTCAGATCTTGCACGTGCACATTGCTCTTAAGCACCTTCAAGACATCTTGAACTTGTCTATGTCTGTACGGGATTGAGGCTGATCATCTTTCATTGATTTCCTCGACAACCTCCTCAAATTCTATACAATCCCTAGCAAGAGGTTCCAGCGTAGCGTTCTCAGCTTTTATTGCCTTGATATCCTCTTGATGTGTATTGTATTAAATTCTTAAAGTCATTGATTTGTGTGTTAATATTTTTACAACTACTGCACGACCTTTTCTCTGATCATTCAATATGTCGGTTTCATCGATTGTCAAATTCACGCATGAATATTTAAAAGCCTTCGTGCATAGTCGGTGCTGCATTTTCTAATGGATAATTTCGGTTATCGATGTGCAGACAGCCGACGAATCCAACTCAGCGAAACAAACATCTCTTCCGGGAAATGTGGAGAAGAAGTCTCTGAGCCCCTCCCAGTCGGCATGCCCGTAATGCCAAATTTCTCCTGCCGCAGCGGGTTCTAACCGAAACCTGAACCTTGTAAACATTATCAATAGTCAGAAGTCTGCAAGGAAATCAAAAGTATAATTGGAGCCAAGTCAAATGCACCAATAAAATGCTTGGAAGATGGAAACACAACGCATACAAAGACAGAAGAATGAAGCAGTCGGTAAAAATGAAACTAAAAGTGTTGTTTCTTTCTTTGTTAGTGTTATATACAGGGTGGCACATCTAAAACGAAACAGACGCATTTACTGGCAGCTCAGTTTTTTTTTATAAACGCTCCGACCCGTCGATTTTTTTTTCGAGGGGGACACAAGTTTGGCAAAAAATCACGTTAGCACGTGCAGACCCCTTAAGCGGGGGTGACACCACCACCTAAATCTTAAATGGAAACAGGGGTCGAGTGATACCTTATTTTAAAGGTCTTTCAATTCCCTTTATAATGATATCAAATTATTATTAAACTTTCAAAACTACTGAACTGAAGCTCATGTATTTTACATCATTATAAAGGGAATTGAAGGACCTTTAAAATAAGGTATCACTCGACCCCCCTTTCCATTTAAGATTTTAGGGTTGGTGTCACCCCGGCAAAGGGTCTGAGCATTTTTTCAAAAAAAAAAACTGAGCTGCCAGTAAATGCGTCTGTTTCGTTTTCGATGCGCCACCCTGTATTTGATTGCCTTAAATGTTAGAAAGCCAAATATTCTGTGATGTGTACTTGTGGTTGCATAAGGCATTTCTAGAATTTTTGACTTCTGACATTTGAGATATGTCCGTTTTCCGTTTGCGGATTTGGCCTTGTCTTTATTTTTCCGGAAGATAAGTCGATTGCTATTGTAAGATATACTTTTTAAAATTACAAAGTACGACTCTCTTCAATCACAAGAGTATTTCCGAAGACCCATTCTTTTATTTCTACTACATTTGAAACTACAACAGTTAGTCCGTTTCGTTTAACGCGTAAAACTATTATTTTATAAGTGACCGAAAAGTTCGAATGTTTTCGTTCACATTCCAAAGGTGTAAAGCAATCAACCGCATCACAACAAACCTCTAAAATCTGAATAATCCGTCCACCTCCTCGAACTTTCAATTACAGAACACAACACACCGGCAGCACAATCCAAAAAGTTTCACAAACTTTCTCCGTCAGCGCGTCACGCGAACCCTCGAAAGCGTGAGCGTGCGAATTCGGGTCAAATAAAGAGCGAATGCCCAAATAGAGCGAAACGCGCGCTACAACCGACGCCGCGTGACTGGCGCGCGACGGCGAGCGCCGCGTCGCCGGGCGTCGACGGCGTCGCGATCATCCTCAAAGGGCAGATCGCAGGCGTGAACCTACTAACTTTGACGTCTGGTGACGGGTGCATCGACACACTGCATGTCTGATCGAGGTTAGCAGGTCTTGGAACTGCGGATGCTGTAGAGGTCAATCTACAGAGAATTGCAATCAGCAAAAGTGATGGGTAGGCTATCTAGCACTGTTGATAGTGGTTGTTTTTTTAAAAAGTGTGAACTTTGTATGACATCAGTCTATGGCACCAAGATTCCCACAATGTCAAGGCGGGTGTTCCCCAGGGAACGGTCTGGGCTCCTTACATATCAACGACCTCATTTCTTATCCACAGCTTTTCTGACGACAGCAGGAATTCGGAGCGACAAGCCGATCTCTGCCGGTAATCTGGAAAAAAGAATCTGTACACTTTAATCCTTCCGAAACACAGTAAGTAATGAAAAACAGTTTATAATTGATCTTAGAAACTATTTGAACGATTGTATTCCTAATACGGATTAATTTGTCTTAAATGGTGACCTCAATGTAAATATTTTATATGACAATAGCTTATCTGTACATGATTACCTAAATTGCTTTCTGAAATCAATTTTATTTCGCTTGTAAATACTCCCACTAGAGTCCTTAAAGAATCCAATACCTGCATTGACCACGTTTTTCTTAAAAGTAGATTAGAAGAAATAGTAGTAAAATCAACTGTAACCGATCATTATGATACCATACTAACACTAGCCCTTAATCGAGAAAGTTTTGTTAATAACCAGCCTAACAAAATTAATAATAGGTACAAAGAAGTGACATATAAATCCGAACACACAGTTCAAATGGTTTTATTTTAATAAAAGTTGGTGAATGTATTTATCTTACTGTAAATAACAAGTGAAAAAATTTTCAGCCTTATCAGTTGAACATTCCGGTTTTTACACTGCTTTTTTTTTAATTCACTAACGCTCTAAAAATGAATATTTCAGCTGCAGTAAAGAATCAACGTTAGCGGATTTTGGTTCTTGACATCCTTTACGATCGGTTACGATGCCTAGAATACGGAGACCTGTACGATTTCGTCAACTTAGTGAGTTTGATAGGTGCCGTATAGTGGGACTTCGGGAAGCTGGACTTTCTTTTCGGGCAATTGCAGTTAGAGTGCAAAGAAGTGTAGACACTGTGGTTAGGTGTTGTCAGGCATGGCTTCGAGAAGGCCGTACGCAAAGAGCAAGGGGCACTGGACGCCGCCGTAGAACAACAGACCGTGAAGATCGCCGCCTAAGATTATTGGCATTAAGGGACTGTTTCTCCACTACCAGGTCCATTGCAAATGAATGGTTTGCAGAATTCGGAAGACCTATTGGCATGCGAAGTGTTTACCGACGAATGAGAAGTTTTGGCTTGTTTTCATACCGGCTACACTGGGTCCTCCCTTTAACTCGAGAACACCGACGTAATCGCCTTGAGTGGTGCAGACAACGGTCACTCTGGGATCAGGAATGGAACAGTATTGTCTTTAGTGACGAGTCTCGATTTGGTTTAGGCATGCACGATGGTCGTGCCAGGGTTAGAAGGCGACGTGGTGAAAGGAGGAATCCACAGTTTTTTGTTGAAAGACATGTTCATCACACTGTTGGAGTTATGGTTTGGGGTTCTATAGCTTATGGTTCCAGGTCACCTTTAATCTTCATCACAGGTAACATGAACGCGCAGCGTTATATCCACGAAGTTCTAGAACCCCATCTTTTACCCTATCTTGACACCCTGGCAGATCCAACTTTCCAACAAGATAATGCCCGACCACATGTTGCAAGAGTCACAATAGACTTCTTTCAACATAATGATGTCACATTGTTGATCAGAAGCATGCCTAGGCGCGTTGGAGAATGCGTAGCACATCAGGATGCATCCACACATTATTAAAGGTCAAAGGGCTTTAAAGCAGTGCAATCATTTTGAAATTTTTATCATTTACTTATTATGCTTCATTAAGTACTTTATACAAAATTTTATTAAAATAAAACCATTTAAACTGGGTGTTCGGATTTATATGTCACTTAGTATAAAACAAACCTCATTTTATTGGACCACGAATATGAAACAAGAAGTAAAGTCGAGGATATTAAAAGAACACCGTTTACAACAAAAAATGTAGGTCAAAAATGCTTCAGTTACCTCTTGACTAAATTTTATAACTTTTTACCACGCTATATAAAATCCATTTCAAATAAAAATAGATTCAAAATTGAAAAAAAAATAATAATCGACATGAAATAGAAAAACTCACTAAAATGAAAATAAATTAGTATATGAGTATAATATTATTACACTTACATTTATGGTTATGTTGTGTTTAAATTTATGTATTATATGGAAACCTTATTTTTGAAACAACTCTCGAAATTCTCCAGCGAATGATCCAGTAGTCCTACCCGATAGTGTACTGTACATCCTGTAAGGGACCGTCCGATATACTACTCTTTATCTATCTGACTAGGTGGTCCCTAGAGATAGCATAGAAACTAGGGATGAGCTTGTCCGGCGGCAAAGTTTAGCGGCAGCTCGATCGTACATAATACCTAGTCCGGTCGCACCCTTTACGCCAAGACCAACTTAATCGCCTAACTCAGGAATAATTTTATGATTACGCTGAAACTATGCAACGTATTATACGGCAATTATTGCTATATACAACAATTAAGCTGCCGAGTTACTGGACGCTCTCGTTGCCGGGTAAACATAACTTCACTATCCCCCGACTCCCGTTTGCTTTATAATGTGGGAGCTACATCAACTGTTCCGTTAGCTAAAGGGCTTGTAGCATTTGCAGGACATGCTACATGTTATGCAATATCGACTGCATATGAAAGCTTCTTTGTTGCTGTAATGAAAACCGTTCTGGTATGGGAACTTTAAACGAATCGGTTAACAACTTTGTAAAGTTGTTATTTGAAGCGTCCTCTCAATAATATTCTCAACTAGGCGACAGCAGTACCGTTGTGCATAAAACGATTGTGCTAGGCTATCGGTCAGTTATCAATCGCAGGTTAACTTGGCAATTAAGTAAGTTCGTTTTTTAAGTTTTTGTTGTGTTGCTAATGTGACAAGACGCTGCCACGCATGAAATATTTTCTTCTATGCAAAACGATTATATCTCTAGCTTCAGCTTTTATTGGGTACTTCGACAAATTAGTGCAAAGTGTACTCTTGAAACATTTGGAAAATAGCAACTAGATTTGAATAATTGATCTTAAGTTACTTACAAAAGTATACGAGATTGTTGCTAAATGTTATTAGCTAAGTTAATCAAAACACTTTTGCCCTTACTAAACCCATTCATCATTTATCTATCAGGCTCCACTAGTATAGTGACAACATACCAGCAAAAATTAAAAAATGCAATAACATTAAATTCAAAAAAGAGCTGAAAGGTTGGTAAAGGGATATTCCAAATTACAACAGTATCACATGTACACACTTTAAATATAAGAAAATTGCATTACGAGGGATGTCTTTTAAGTTTTGCATATAGAAACATAGTATCGAACGTCAGTACTGAATCTTAACCTCACTCTTTAGTAAACTTAAATTCAAAGTTTCACAACCATACGTGCAGTGTTCTCACTACAGTGAATTTTTAAATGTCACCAAGTCATTAGAAAAATGGAACTCAACCGAGAATATTTTCGCGCCATAATTTACAGTGGACCCCCGATAATCCGGCCCCTGTCTAATCCGACACCCCGTGTAATCCGACATGTCTTTGAATATTACATACATACGTATTTGACAATCTTCGCTTATTTAGATCACGCCGGTTTGGACAGGTTACAACTTGTACACGCCACCGCTATCGTGCTCGACGCGTAAGCATTGTTTTACTTAGTTTGAAATTGACTACTTGTGATAGCGGTACGGCCTAGCGTGCATTCATTGTTTACTATTTATTCATTGTGTATTAAGTTTAGTACCTAGTAATGTCATCACAAACTCAGAAGCGAAAGCACAAAGCATTGACAATTAAAGAAAAATGTGATATTTTAGACCGCTTAAATCGCAATGAAACTTTCAGTAGTTTAGCAAGTGACTACGGCGTAGGCCGATCTACATTTTATGACATTAAAAGAAACTTCGAGAAGATCAAGAAGTTCGTGTCAAGTACTGACTGCGGGCCAGGCAAGAGACAGACACTCAAAAAAGCTGAACATCCAGAAGTGGAAGAAGCTTTGCACATGTGGTTTCTTCAGGAAAGAAATAGGCATGCACCAATTTCAGGACCCATGTTGGCCATGAAAGCTAAGTTTTTTTATAAGGAAATAACAAAAAAAGATGATTTTGTGGCCAAAGCGAAGTTTCGAAAAATATGGTCGCGACATTTGTGTCATATTGCAGCAATTCCTCTTAATGAGCAAAGAACTGTTACTGCGGATTGGTATACCACCATTTGTTTGCTAAAAGTCATCATCGAGCTTCGAAAAATCAACCCCGAAAAAAGAATCATCCTCCACCAAGACAATGCAAGCTCGCACACAGCTCAAAAAACAAGGCAGGAAGAAAACGTGGAATTATTGGACCATCCTCTATATAGTCCCGATCTAAGTCCTAACGATTTCTTTACTTTCCCGAAAATTAGAAACAGACTGCATGGTCAAAGGTTCCAGTCACCAGAAGAAACAGTTGACGATTCAAAAATGCCGTTTTGGAAACCGGAAGAGTAAAGAAACAGCAGCGACTAGTGCTAAAAGATTGGGACAAAGAGCTAACTGATACTCTCGTACCCGACAAATTTGGCACTTATTTTTCGACAATAGCAGAGAGCAAGCTAGCAGAACACTTTGCATGTGACGGCCCAGCAATATGTCCATCCCCCTTGCAGCAGCATCATGAATGTTCTACGAGGATGTCGCCATTGAAGACATCGTGAAAGTAATCAGCAGCCTTTCAAACAAAAGTAGCAGTGGAAATGATGGAATTTCAACGCGAGTGATAAAGTTTGTGAAACGTGAAATATCGCTCCCCTTGCCAGTGCTTATTAATATATCAGTGAAGCAAGGTACATTCCTAGAGTGTTTGAAACTGGCTATTGTGATTCCCGTGTACAAAAAAGGTGACCGTAAAGACGTTGAAAACTACAGGTCAATATCACTTTTATCGA